TTCGAATAACGGTAATTGAAGAGTTTGATAGGGCCTCCCGCTTCAGCTGTCCAGGGAGGTCCGGGAATGTTCGGTGCTCTCATGGCCATCTGCGAAGTAGTTCGAGTGTAAATTCTCAGGCAAATTGCTTCTGTCTCTCTGGAATGCAGTCGGCGGTTTTTGAGGGAGAAAAAGCTATAACATGTGCGGTGCGATTGAAATGTACACCCTTTGTTGTTCATTCTTCCTAATGAGAGGTTAAAATTGTTTACTTTCAAAATTAGGCGCCAAATTTGAAATATTTTGTGTGCCTGAGAAGAGGTACATTTTTTATCGATTCTAGCTAAAAATGCAATTCTTGCTATAAATAGAACTTTTTGACGTTTCTTTGTTGTGGTTTTATGAAATTTCTTGTAAGATTGTTTTTAATGGAACACTATTACTTGTTTCGAAATCATTTAATTATTATTTCACCTTGTCTTCAAGATATTCTAAGTTCATTCTTGAATTTTTCATTTTCTTTTATATGAAGACTTACAACCAAACTAAGGCATAATTAGTCTTTTCATAATTACTGTCATGAAACAGAAATGAAACAGTTATATATGCCCCAGAAAGCAGTAAAGCAAAACGTACGCTAAAACCTTTTTATTTTGTTGCCAACGGGCTTTCAAAAACCTGTCCCCACTTCGTTCATTAGTTTTTGAAAAAGGTAAAATATAATTAAATACTAAATGAACGAATAGTGTTTTAAACAGGTCTTTTTATTTCCAGTATATCAAACATAAAAGCAAGGATAATTTCACAAATAAATTGAACATTCGGAACTAAATACCATCCAATATATCGCATTATGATCCCAATATATCCCATGTTCATTTTATTAAACGAGGAGAACCTTGTAGTACTCAAATATCTATCACTGCATTTTTCTTTCATATTACATATAAATCGTATTTTTAAGGGAGAAATACTGATTGGGCTAATTTCAACTGTCATTATAATGTAATATATTATATTGACGCTGTGTGAAGAAATTGTCTCAAACGAAGCGAGGGAAATTTGAATTTACCATTTTGCACTTTTCAAGTTTTGAAAAAGACTGAGTGAGCCGAAAATGGAACCAGAGCCACTTTCTTTACCGATCTTTGCTACATGCGTAAAAGAAATTGAAAAATAAAAATTGGAGCCATTTCTGAGAACTTAGTTGTTTAAAACTTACGCCAATTACACAAAAAGTACTCGTGCTTTCAAAAAATTCTACATTACCTTATTCGAGAGAAGCATTTATATTTAAAACACATTTTATTAATAAAAAATATCTTGCCATAGATGTAGAAAGGCTCCAACACAATTTCGAATTTATGTAAATTTCTAAAATTGAGGGACTTCAACAAAACATTGTCCTGTACCATTCTTTTAAGAGTCCTTTACTTTATCGGAGATCATAATTTAATAAAACATGGGGTCTTTCTGGGAGCAAAATATTTAAACAAAATTAAAAATTATATATTTTTCACACAAAATCACGCAAAAAGTACTCAAAGTTTCGAAAAAAAATTCATGACCTATATCAAAATGTGTCTATAAATAACAGATTTTATTCGGGAAAAAATATCTCTATCTTCAATATTTTAGTTGTAGGAAGACAGCGAAGACCTTTTGAAATGTTTGAAAAATTAGAGATTTGAACAAAAAACAGACCTGCATCATGCCGCTATCTATTACGCTATCCGCAGAGTATATTACTCTATCCGACAACAAAATGTAATCAAAACATTTGGTGACATTTTTTTAGCATTTTGAGAATGTTCCAAGGACTCCATGTAAACTACCGTCAAAATTAAAATATTGGTTTCAAATTCAAGGGGCCGTGACATCAGTCAAATCTGTTGGAGAATATTAATTGTGGAGAAAGTTGGCTGAACGGTTTGCGCGAGCGACGTTCAAAGACAGACAGACGGACAGTCTGGTCATTTGAGGAAATTCAGTAGTAGTGGTGGAGCAAGAGCTCACAAGACACCTGGCAACTCTGGTTACAGTGATAGCCAACAGGGCGCGCGAAGTACGTCAGCTCTGCAATGCAGCACTGTGAGTGAAAGGTTGGTAGCATGAAGTAGCATGTAGGTATGCTCCTTTCATTTGTTTGCAGTATTTTGTTAAAATAAAATGTTAAAAATGAAATGCATTAATGATATTCAACACAACGTTAATGGTACAATCTCTCTATATTCAATAAAACGGTACCTTCAACTATTTTAAGGCGATATATTAAATGGACACTAGTTTTGGATGTTCAATTTATACTTCAAAGTTGCCTTACTTGTCTGTATAATGTACTGAAAATATTATAAAAATTGAGATCTATTCATTCTTGTTTGTTTTATAGTAGTAAAAAAGGCTTACTGTTCCTCACAGTCGAAATATTTCACACGATGCACCTCAGGCGCTTTGTTTGAATATGTTTGGTCTGTTACAAAGTGATGTGAGAGCAGAAATTTTAATAGTATAATATTACGTAACTCTTCCCAATAATGCGAAAACGTATGTGCTGTTGGATCACCTCCAGTTTCTCTTGTATCACAAATAGACCTTATGGAACCTCTTATACCATAAGTGCTAGGGATGATAATCCTTCACAGAAAATTCTACTCAAATATACGAACGTATTTAATACAAACTTACAGAATTAATAGATTGGGCTTAAAATTCACAAAATAATTTCAATTATATTTGAAATAATGTTACTGGGGGCATTGCCGGATTTTCTCGTTTGGGGGATTCAAATAATATTAAAACTGTTGGGATTTTTGATTTTAGAAAAGAATAAGAAATGAGGATTAATTGTTCAATTTTCTGAAATTGAAATACAAATTTAAAACTAGAAGAAGTGTTACTTTATTGTGGATAAATAAATACAAAATAATTTTAGTAAATTTGATAAAAAGAAGTAATCGTTTCATCAACCTCTACACATCTGTGTTCTAACATTTAGAAAGGATCAAAACTAGGAATATTACTACTTAGCAATATCCCAATTTAGTATAATTATTGTATAAAAATTAATTTTTTTAATATATGAATAATCACACATTATATTGTATTAAAGAAAAGATCATGCGTGCGAATTCTATTTTTAATCAAATAATGATCTCTAGTAATTGACAATTTAGTCCACGTAAGTTGGTAATTTGATCTGAGTAACGTTTACCTATTTAACATTAAATATTCATGTCTGAATATTCATTGGATATCAAAACTCAGAGATATAAACTTTGGAATTGGTTGTTAAATGATGATCATTGAATCTATAGTGATATAGTCATTTCCATTAAATAAGTAACTGGCACGTGAGAATACTCCTTGAAAACTCCTTTCACGCAAGACAACTTGTGTCTTAAGCTGCAACAGCAAATTTGTCTCCTACGAAGAAAATCGATGTTCATCTCTTCTAAGAGCAAAAGAATATCCACCAAATGTCTGACATCTCGGTGTTGAAACTGCAGAGATGGCTCAGTGTTGAAACTGCAGAGATGGCTCAATGTTGAAACTGCAGAGATTGCTCAATGTTGAAGCTGCAGAGATGGCTCAATGTTGAAACTGCAGAGATGGCTCAGCGTTGAAACTGCAGAGATGGCTCAGTGTTGAAGCTGCAGAGATGGCTCAATGTTGAAGCTGCAGAGATGGCTCAGTGTTGAAACTGCAGAGATGGCTCAGTATTGAAACTGCAGAGATGGCTCAATGTTAAAACTGCAGAGATGGCTCAGTGTTGAAACTGCAGAGATGGCTCAGGCATGAGAAAAGGGGAATTTGTTCACATTTCGTCTTAATACCACAAAAGTGGTAGACCCTTTATGACGAAGACGATACTTCATTCGTTCGTTGTTGTATTATCCCCATATCCTGGACATCGTTTTTCTGAGAGGGCAAAACCATCATGTGTTTTACCCCTACTTCGCATTCTTCATTGGGACTCAAATATGTTTCTGAGTCAAGCTTGCGATTCACGTAGCTGCCATTATTACTTCATTTAAATAAGTTCGTTTCAAATTTCGTTTTCATTTATCTGCAATGTAAGAAGAAATGAATATAATACATTTGTTATGAGAGATTGATTAAAGACACTACTTGCTAATGTAAACTGACATCTTCAGAATATTTACTATTAGTTACGCATTCATTTAAATCAATTACTTGTTTAAATACACTCCAGATATTGTAGTGAAACAGACGAATGTTTAAATCAACCGCGCTATTTCCCGCATAAATGTCACCAGGATTTCTTAGTTACAAGTCTTAGTAGTTTTTGACTAAATCGATCCTAAAGGTCATTTATTCATAAAAATATTAAGCTCGGTGGTTGTCGTTGAAATCTTGTGGAAATCAATATGAACGGACAGAAAAGGATATATACAGAAGAACCTTTTCTTAGTTTTCCTTTCTACATCTGTTAGGGAGCACAGAAAATGAGGAAAAAATCTCAAAACATGCTAGAATGTATGGTCTGAATTAATGAAAGACAGTTTGATTAACTCAAGCATATAAATTTCTACAAGATTTCTGCGGTATCCACAAAGTTTAATTTTACTATTTTTTTTTAAGAAAGTTACTGAAACTAAATTTTGGATGATCAAATTATTCTTGATGATCAAATAAAATTAGTCTTAGATGATCAAATTAAATTAATCTTTCATGATAAAATCTAATAATCTTCGATGATCTAGTCAAGTTAATCTTGGATGATCAAATACAATTTATCTTGGATGATCAAGTCAAGTTAATCTTGTCTGATAAAGTCAAGTTAATCTTGCTTTATCAGATCAAGTTAATCTTGGTTCATTAAATAAAATTAATCTCGGATGATCAAATCAAACTAATATTGGATAATCAAATCAAATTAGTCTTAAATGATCAAATCAAATTTATCTTAGATGATCAAGTCAAGCTAATCATGGTTCATCAGATCAAGTTAATCTTGGTGCATTAAATAAAATTAGTCTTGGATGATGAAATCGCATTACCTGTGAGCTCGTGCGCCCGCGCCGTGTGTTTGCAGCCGAACCACCAGGCTGCGCTGCTGCGCGGGAAAGGCGGGCTGCCATCGTCCACCTGCGCACATCGAGCGAGCGGTTGAGCGACTCCACGGCGAATTCATACGTCTAAATCACACCCACCGAATCCACGAGGCGCAAAACGAGTGGCGCTGAATTGATTGATTGATTGATTCATTCATTGATTGACTGATTGATTGATGCGTCCATTGACAGAGGGAGCTAACCCGGAAAATTTAAAAAATCGATTTGTGAACATATTCGATTATAAACACCGTGTGAATATGTCAATAAATCGATGTTTTGAATGTTGTTGAGGAACGACGACAAGGAAGAGTAAAGAAATATGCATAGAGGAGGAATTCTCCCGACCTCCAATGAGTGGGTTGATGCCGGATATGATCATTTAAAGGGAGAGGAACACCGCCAACTCCCGTGCGAAAACACGCACTACACTTATGGATCTAATGGCCACTGAAGTTTTTGTTATTTGAAGGTGGGTCACTTCAGTTTGTCTATACTGTTCATCACTGCAGAAGAAATGTTTTCTCCCTCTGAGAAATATGTTATCTTGGCTTACTTTAGTGCGTCCAATAAATTACATGTTACAGACACACGAAGTCATTTAAAAAAATATAGTGTGCTGTAGTTCACTGTCTGATTGATTAGTGATTCTGTACAAGGCAACTGCAAATTAGTCCCGTAAGTGCAGTGCGTGTTTTATTGCGGCCATTGCGGCAGTGATCTTCGCGCGCTTGATGATATCTGGCGCCGACCTCCCCGTCGGACTGAGGCATTTCCCCCAACTAGGTATCTCCCATCACAGGGGCACCGCCCCAACCGGAACAAGCTCTTACATCCCGACTGCTAGTGTAGTGCGTATTAGTGTAAGTGTGCGTGTAAGGAGTAAGAATACAACAAAGAAGAGAAAAGGAAATATCGCGCTCGGTCCGTGGCCCGTTGGTTAGAGTACTGTTCCGACATTCGCTTGGTGTTGATCAGAGAATCCATTCAAAACTTCCGCTCAGAGCATCCAGAATTCTCCCCCAGATAGCGGCTGAATTCGACCTAGCAGTGTCGAAAATTTGGACAGCATCGAGACGCAAACCATAGGACATCCCGGTAAGAATCAGTACAGTTACATCAGTTGATGCCATGAGCAACCTAAACAGGTCTGTAGTTCACGCCTGGATAGGCGACACACAACGAAGGGAAGAAAAACAACACGCGCGTTTCGACTTCGCAGTCTCATCAGACGGGCAATCACCGTGTGGCGCTCACCTTGAAGGCGACGTCATCGAAGCGGTAGTAGAGTCCGGCCTTGAAGAAGTAGGTGTAGCCTCCGTGGAAGAAAGCGGCGTCCAGCCCTGCGGGCACGCCCTTCCACTGGGCCAGCGCCCGCGGAGTGTAAGAGTTTCGGCTGCGATCGTACTGCCAGAACTCTGCGCCTGCGAACACATACACCGCATTCTGAACTGCACATCGCACGCTGGTTTTAAGGTTAAGTTGTTGTTAGGGAGGTAATTGAAGTATTCGAATAATTTGTCTGGTTGTTCGAGCTTGAAGGTTTGTTGGGGGGCATGTCCCCCAAGATTCTTTGAACCGTACAATAATTTAGGGATTCAAATTAAGGATTAGAATTTAATTTCTTGAGATATGTTATTGAATAGTATTTATATGTGATGTTGTTTAGTTGATCCATGTATTATAATATGAAAAATATCGATTGCCACGACGCACAGAAGAATCAGTTTATTTTTTAACGATACGTTATTCCTTGTTGTTGCCTACGATAAGGAGCCCTGTATACATTACATAACGTACCTGTAGATGATCGTGATTACGAGGGAAGTATGAAAACAGTTGAATGATGCTCCTTGTTTTCTTAGGGAGGGAATTTCGAGAGGGAGCCGAATCAAGTCAACATCTAATTAATAAGTAAGTAAGTAAGTAAATTAGAATCATTAAAAATAGGTAAAAAATAAAATCTTGCAGTTACCACGGAGAAAGATTCTCGGGGTTTCCGCGCCGCTCGATTGTTAGAACTCTCATTATGCCGTTAGGTGCATAAATAGTTTGAATATTGGTGAGTTTATACCCGACCTTGCGATTAAAAATAATATAATATACGTGTCACACACACACACACACACACACACACACACACACACACACACCAGGGCCGGATTTACCTACAAGCAAAACAAGCACTTGCTTGGGGGCCCCCATTCACCAGGGGGCCCCCATTCTGCAATGAAGAGCAGAAAAAAATTATGTAAAATGTATTTAATATAAAAAAATGTAACACAAATAAAAATTTCTATAAAACATTATCAGTTTTCATTTGTATCTGTACAGAAAGTACTTGTACTATAATACATTTTTTATTTAATAAAAATGGAGCTTTTTTTTCGGGGGGGGGGGGTAACACAACTTTGTGCTTGGGGCCCCGCACTACTTAATTCTGGCCCTGACACACACACACACACACACCAGGGCACTACTCAGCCTTCGGCTCTGTAGTGCCCTGATCTGCCAGACAAACCGCTTGTCTGTCTAGTTCACGGATACGCGAAATCCTTCCTACCCGATACCCGATACCTTTTTTATTCGAATATATAGACCTTGTGAAGAAACATTTAGCACTAATAAATATATTGCTGTTTATTTCAAGGGTTCGTTTTGTGCAATATTTCAGAATACGAAAAGTTATCATTTAGGATCTTTCTACATGCTCTATGACTTTGTCACAATCATTCTATATATTCATTTATGCTAGCCAACATATATATATATATATATATATATATATGTTGGCTAGCCATATAATATCTTGGCCAGCTATATAATATCTTTTCTGTATACCATGTTGATCAGAAATCAAAATGACTCTATCCAATTTGTATAGAAATCTAATAAGATGAGATGCATATCTTCATTGCAGTTTGCACCGTTTACATTTTACATTGGCACACAATGCCTTGGCGTTAAATTTCATTCAGTGAAAATATTTGTCTTCAATATTTTTGTGGGAAGAATCCGAAAAAGTTTGAACTTCTGCAATTTTCGAAATCTCTCTCTCTCTCTCCCTCTCTCTCTCTCTCTCTCTCTCTCTATATAT